GGGCCTGTGCCTGACGGGAGGCCCGCGGCCGTGCCCGCCCTCCCACCGCCCGCCCAGCCTGCCCGGCCGCCGCCTCCGCCGTCCCCCGGCACACACACCTTCCCGTCCTGCTGTCCCAGCAGATGATGTAATTCCACTCCACGTTGCAGCACCAAGCCCAGGGCTGTACACGTTACAGCATTAACAACTGTTTTCTGTCTAGTCCCAGGCCAGCCCAGACAGCCCCACCCGCAGCGCAGGCTGCCTGCCCATCTCCCACAGCCAGTTTCTCTTGACCTCGATTCTCCTCAGATGTTTGCAGCCTGATGCAGACAAAAGGGCTTATGAGAGTGGTTTTAACTCCCTGGGCACTCTGCTCACTGTTTTCTCCACTGTACACCAAACCCCTCTCTCTAAAAGGGCAGGAGTGCTGACTCTGCTCTTCACTTACCTCCCACATCCCATTTGCATTCATTTCTAAATTAAGAGACTCACAGAATCATTTCAGTTGGAAAAGACCTTTAAGATCAAGTCCAACTGTTAACCCAGCACTGCCCAGGCCACCACGAAACCATGCCCCTCTGTACCTCATCTATATGGCTTTAAAAACCCTCCAGAGCTGGTGGCCCCACCACTGTCCTGAGCAGCACGTGCTAGGGCCTGACAACCCTTTCATGAACAAAATTGTTCCCAATATCCGATCTAAACCTCCCTGGGCACAACTCGAGGCCATTTGCTTGTTACTTGAGAATAGAGACCAACCCTCCCCCTCCACCCCAACCTCCCTTCAGGGACTTCTAGAGAGTGAGGAGGTCTCCCCTCAGCTTCCTTTTCTCCAAGTTAAACAACCCCAGTTCCCTCAGCCACTTCTTATAAGACTCATTCTCCAGACCCTCCACCAGCTTCAATGCCTTTCCCTGGACACACTTCAACCTCTCCATGTCCTTCTTGTCATGAGGGGCCAAGAAGTGAACATAGTGCTTGAGGTGAGGCCTCACCAGTGATGAGTACAGGGGGACAACCACTTCCCTGTTCCTGCTGGCCACGCTATTTCTAATACAAGTCAGGATGCTGTTGGCTTCCCTGGGCACATGCTGGTTCATATTCAGCAACCACTGACCAACACCCCCAGGTCCTTTTCCACCAGGCACCTTCCAGACACTCTTCACATTTGTACCATTGCACAGGGTTGTTGTGACCCAAGTGCAGGACCCAGCACTTGGCCTTGTTGAACCTCATACAATTGCCCTCAGCCCATTGATCTAGCCTGTCCAAATCCCTCTGTAGAGCCTTCCTACCCTCAAGCAGACCAACACTCATTCCCAGCTTGGTGTCATCTGCAAGCACTCTTGTCACTGCAATTAGTAGAAACCATAAACGTACAGTTTCTCATCTCCAAAGACACTAGAAGATACACAGTAGTTCCTCAGTTCACCTCAGATGCCAGATGTTAGTCTTCTGTCTATACCTGTTTTATCATTATTACACCCCTATTTTCCTATTAGAATTCAAACAAGTTCCAGCAGCACTAATTTTCACGTTGTTAAAATACAGGTTTTCTGTCATGGAGGTAGAGTTCAAGATACCTGCAAAAGTCTCAGTGTCTCAAGCATTAATAGAAGATCCAACTCAATAATTATCTGACATTAAAGATTTACCTATCCCAATGTGAGGGAAAACAAGCCAATCTGCAAAATAACCCAAAATAAAGACAAGGTCATCACTTTGTTAGAAGACTGTCTGGAGATCTCCACTTTGCCAGAAGCAGAATTTGTTTTAATCATCATAGCATACGTAAGCCCTTCTCCCCTTTTCCACACTCCAATTATTAGCAAAAATAAACCTGCAGAGTATAATAGCAGAATAAAGACAATACTAGAATGCTATTAAATCATTCACAAAAAAAAGAGAGAACAGTGATTAAAGATGCATCACAGCAGGTGCTTTGTTGTGTTGTGTTTTGGGTTTTTTTTCATGTTGAGCCAAGTCTCCATTTCCATTTTTAAACAGCTAACAGGATACAGGAAGGTTCTCATTTTAGGCTCACCTGGACAATTTTCAGTACATTCAACTTCTTCAAACTGTGCATCCAAATAAAAAACAACCAGTTTTCCTCAACCACTGCAGATACTGAGGAGCTGCTTTTCTTTTTCAGACACTGAAATAGAGGAAGAACTGGTAACAGAAAATTAACAGAAATTAAGACAGTATTTTCGTTTGCTACATGAAACCAGCAGTTTTATGGGAGGATGCTTGTTAGTGGCAAGGAATCCTAGATTTCTTACCTGCTCAGCAGTTATTTACCTCACTGTACAACAAGCACTACAAGAAGCGAGCCATGGAAAACTGTGGTTTCATATAGTTAAGGGTAATGAACACGCACCTTCCAGACACTCTTCACATTTGTACCATTGCACAGGGTTGTTGTGACCCAAGTGCAGGACCCAGCACTTGGCCTTGTTGAACCTCATACAATTGCCCTCAGCCCATTGATCTAGCCTGTCCAAATCCCTCTGTAGAGCCTTCCTACCCTCAAGCAGACCAACACTCATTCCCAGCTTGGTGTCATCTGCAAGCACTCTTGTCACTGCAATTAGTAGAAACCATAAACGTACAGTTTCTCATCTCCAAAGACACTAGAAGATACACAGTAGTTCCTCAGTTCACCTCAGATGCCAGATGTTAGTCTTCTGTCTATACCTGTTTTATCATTATTACACCCCTATTTTCCTATTAGAATTCAAACAAGTTCCAGCAGCACTAATTTTCACGTTGTTAAAATACAGGTTTTCTGTCATGGAGGTAGAGTTCAAGATACCTGCAAAAGTCTCAGTGTCTCAAGCATTAATAGAAGATCCAACTCAATAATTATCTGACATTAAAGATTTACCTATCCCAATGTGAGGGAAAACAAGCCAATCTGCAAAA